ACAACAATTGTGCACACTTAAAATGTTACACATGTTACCAACAGTATGGAAAACAAGAGAGAGCTTTAAGCCAGCTCTCACATCACTGTACTAACCCGTGAGCCTGAGCTGCAACACGGGGGGCTCAGTGTCTGACAACGCTGCCACATTGAAATCTCAGCCCTCTAGACGTGACTTTATTGTCAGCAGTATCCAGAGCTGGAAATCTCCCATGAACACTTTTGTATTTCATCCTTAGGAAAAGACTTGTAAATCTTTACTTTTTAAAAGTTTCTCTAGCCCCAGGTAAATGATCTAATTTGTTTCTTAATAACAGAGAGGAAGTGTATGTTTAAACCCTGCCTGCTGATGATGCAGTTTGGTAGGGAAGGAGGTGCTTCCAGTAGAATGGTTATTTGTTCTAAAACAAAACAATAAGCAGTGGTGATCCTAAAGTGATGATGGACACAAGTCTCTCATGTCTGCATTCAGAGCAACAATGAAACCCTCAGGGGTCCAGGAAGAAGGAGAGATGTGCATCTTCATCTGTGCTTACCTGCTCACTGGATGACTTGTTTGGTACACGAGTTTAATCCACTGGGTCCACACAAGACCTCCAGATTATGGGTAACTGCCCTCAAACCAGCTCATCTGCACTTGCAAATAAACCATGTCCACTTCTTCAGCTTCACTGATTTCAGTAGCACAGATAAATATGAGCAATCGAAGAGTTACATGTGCACAGCACAGAGTGAACTGTTGCTTTAAGTATGTGAGAAAATGAAACAACTCCTGAAGCTCCATTACAATTCAAATACTTTTGACAGAAAAATGCTTAGACCATCACAGATGACAAAAGGCTGTATCAGGGACTAGTTTGGGCAAGTCTTGGATTTTCTTAAAACAATGATCAATCAGTTCCCCAGCAAAGATAGGAACACTGAAGGTCTGTTTATTGCTTCCTTTGTCTGCTACAGTATTGTAAAGACTTCAAACTGTAATCTTTGGCTTGCTATGTCAGAGAAAATCCCACAAACAGACACTAAAATAATAGGCAATCGTGTGCTGCTCCCTTTTATGAGCACTGTGCCTCACCCACTTGGTTATTCACACATGCAGCAGTGAGAACTAGGACACTCATCTCACCTGCCTCTTACATTAACTTTTGTAATGGCAAATTGCAGTGCCCCTCACCTACAACAAATCCAGGCAGTTTTTCTTTTCAAGGTGGGTACCTTGAAAATGGAAGGGAAAATATGGGGTACTCTAAGCAAGCCCGAGATGTAAAGCAGAAAGGCAACAAAAATTTACTTTTGCTTTAGCTTTATGCTGATGTCATTCCAGAGACTGCACTGTTACTGGACATCTGCACCATCATGAGAGCAGAATCCATCTCCCAAGGACAGCTCGCAGTAAACTGGTTTTACTCCAGGAATCTGGTCTATAAAGCCCTTCCCTTGATATATTTTCATGGCTATAAGCAAGTCAGAACATTTTTCCAAGGAGTGAATAGCAGCCAGCAAAAACACAGCCCTAGGCTCATGCTGAACTGGGTAGGATTTAAAAATGTCTGCAGCAGTTAGTGGTTAGGCACACAAAAACACCCCACCCTTCAGCCCCAGGCGAGAGAGAATATGCCGACAGTGCAGAGTGTACTTCCTGCATCAGGATCCATCACTTGGCTTTGAACAAGATCAACAGATTTCAGGAGAACGAGAGAAGGGGATAATGCAGATGTGCCCTAAGGTGCAATATGTTGACTAACATCCCAGTGACTGAGTGGTAACGTTGATGAGAAAAGGTCTAAACTATTGCACCCAGCAAACTGTTAAATGGAAGTTTTGGGATGCTCCTGGAACTCTGGAAGAGAAGAACCCATAAAGGTCAAACTGGAGTCTCTAAACCCAAAGCCAGTATCCTTTAATATTACTTTCCACTTTGGCTTTTCTACTACAGGGGATGCCCATAGGGGAGTTATAACATGTCCTCGTCCCATCAGTGCCGCTGTGTTAGCACTAGTGCTCTTCTGGAGTTACACAGATAATATCTTTCAATTGTGCAGACAAACCGGAGTACACTCGGAAAATTATCTGATCACTTAAAATGTCATAACAGAAATACCAAAGAAAATAAAACCAGGAAGCACATTTTCCTACTGGTTTCTCGGGAAAACAAGTTTCTCTGAAGGGAAGAAGCATGTTCAGCAAACAGAGCTCAATAATTTTATTGCCCAGTGCACAATTTCCTATGCATTTTTTTCTCGTGTTTTACTTACCCCAAAACTATTCTGATCACAGAAGGAATAAAAGAAATAAAACCATGACATTAAAAGGGCTTAATAAAGACTGTACTGCAATTAATGTGCTACTGTTGCACATACTGATGAACTTAACTAAACAGCATGAGAAACACTCTACAGTGTGCCATAAACATCCCATATCAATAACACATGGATTATCTGTTTTCCTCAAGGGAAGCAGATGTGCAGTTTTTGAGAGGAAGGTTTTAGTCTGACTGGTTTGCCATCATTAAGTGGAGGATAACATACTATCCATCACTATTGGGTTTCTGCAATAAAAGTACTGGATAGTCACCTGATGACAGTCTAATTCCCAGCTCCATCAGGGGCCTCCAGAAGGGTCTTGAGCAAGTCATGGTTTTGTAGTACTTTGTGTTAATACCAAGTAAATTCATAAGTGAATGTGGTAAACACAGCTAAACAAGAAGCCTCAACCTGAACAGTGTCTTTTATTTGTGTGATTTATGAGTGATTACCCATCAGCAAATACTGATGATAATATTTCCTTTTCTCTACTCTTTTTGTAGTACACTAAACTCATAAATCCAACATATGGCACCATCTTTCCATATTCACAGTCCCAAACAACTGTGAATTGTTTGTGATTGTGCCCCAATCCCACTTGGGGTGGGGCACATGGGCGTTGCTCTAATTAAGAGCCATGATAATGCACAGGATGACTTTTTCATGTGCTATGTTCCTGTAAAATCTTACTGGAATCTTGCCTGGCAAATGATCTAAAATCTCAAACTTTCTGTTGTTCTTGTGCAACTCATCTGTTAACATGTCTGTACAACAGAACATGAGTAATTTAAAGCAGGGACCATACTTGAGACTGAAGGAAATACCCTGTGAACTTGGAGACGTGCCATCTCAAAGCTCCAGAGTATCTGAGGTCCAACACAGCTGATAAATCTGCAGCAGAAGTTCTATTAGCACTTTTACTGTTGCACTCAGGAGTCCATTTTTAACTCATCAAAAAATTAAAATATTAATGACATTAAATTAGCTGCAGGTCTTAAAAAAATAAATAAGCTGTTGGTTTAAAAAATGCCTCCAAACTGCCTCAACACTTGAGGTATCATGCCAGGTTTTTATGCTAAGTGGTTACAAAAGATTGTACAACTTAGTCACGTAATCTAAATTCCCACATTTGCTACGGAAAATATTCTTTCTAAATCAATTTAACTGACAGATAAAATCTTATACAAGGAGTGACCTAAGAGCCTCAAGTTCCCAGATTTCCCAAAACAACTTGGTCTAGATGGGCTTTGAATGTTTTGATACGTTTTACTGCAGGAGAGTAAAAGGTTGCTATCATCCCTATCAAATCCTACTTGAAGTGAGTGAATCTATGTATACTTGTGATCAAAAGCACAGCAACTGCTAATGTGTTACACCTACATTTAGTGCTTACTCACCACACAGTTCAAGATTGTCTCTGATCTCAATACAGATGAGAGTTACACAAGGTGAAGAGAAAATTGAGCATCCTCATCTGTAGCTGTGAGGAGGAACCAGGCAGGAAATTAATGCATTTCTGATACACAAGCCAAGGGCATGATCCAGTGAGGGCATGTGGGTGCCTGTACCCCACGTGCAGCTCCCAGCACAGCTGCGTGAGGTGTAATGGGCAGCTTGGGCCAGTCTGGCTGTGGGCAGTGCTGGAGGAACCGCTGGTACCTCATCCCTGCGGGCTGGGAGCTGTCCCTGTTATGGCTTCCACAGCTCCTTTTGTCAGTCCTGACAGTTATATTGGAAAAACATTGTGTACAAACCAGTTTAAAGAAACATAAATCCACATGCGGAAGCCAGGTGTGCAGCATGGAAGGGATGTTTGCTGATAAAGACAGGAAAATCATGTTTGATTCAGCAGTGCCTTCGAGTGCCAGGGCACTCTGCAATCCTGAACTGCAGGATGGAGCCACAGCTAGGGCTGCTACTTGTCACTGTCCCAATCTCCTTGCCTGTTTCTCCAGTCAAGTTTCTTCATTTTCACTTGTCCTTCCTCACAACCAAGACAGCACTGCTCAGGTCCTGCTCCTCAGGTACAGATTTTCCCCTTCTGTGAGGAGACAGTGCCTGTGATAAAGGCAATGGCAGCTTGAGGTGGAGAGTTGTGGTTCCCTTGGCTGTGCCAAAGGCTGGGCCTACCATGCCATCCATGGTGGGGCGTGCTCCATGCTGAGGCAGGAGCCCCTCTCCCTGGCCCAGGGACACTCCAGGAACACTGTCTTAAACTGTACCAGGGCAGGTTTCAGTTGGACATCAGGAAGAATTTCTTCACAGAAAGAACGATTAGACATTGGAGTGAGCTGCCGAGGGAGGTGCTGGAGTCACCATCCCTCGAGGTGTTTAAGGAAAGACTGGCCATAGCACTTAGTGCCATGGTCTGATTTACACGGTGGTGTCGGGTCATAGGTTGCACTCGATGATCTCAGAGGTCTCTTCCGACCCAACTCATTCTGTAATTCTGTGAGATGGCACCTGGCCCAGACACCAGACATGGGGTGGGAAGCCTGAGGGACACAGCACCGCCTTACATGCCCAGATGCAACAGTGTACGCGGTCCCCAGGGATGCCACACGCCAGGGGCGTTTGCTGCCCGCCCTCAGGATCAGGATCGACATCGACACCGCGAGCAGCCTCCGCGCGCCCTCCTGCCCCGCAGCGCCTCCCACCGCGCGCAGGCGCAAACAGCCCGCGCCGTCCCGGCGCGCACCGGGCGCAGGCGCGGTACCGCTCCTGGCCGGGCGGCGGGAGGTTGGAGCGAACGCGGGCAGCGGGAGCTGCTCCCACCGGGCCCGCCGGGCTTCTCCGCGCTTCACCCGCGCTCCGGGGCCTCGTGGTCCCCGAGGGGCCTCCCCTCGTTCTGCAGCCGCTGCGGGTCTGTGCAGTGGCACCGTTTCTGGGGTGCCTCAGGGCCCCCCGGGGTGCATCCTCTGAACGGGCTCCTCGGGCCTGTGTCTTTGTCTCTGGGTTGCCCAGCCTTCGTCCCGCTTCTCTGGGGGTGGAAAGCTGGCTGGGGAAAAGTTTTATTGAGTGTTAGTAGAGCCTTCAGTTGAGAAAGTGAAAGGAGTGCGTGTTGTTGTGTAACGTACTTATAAGCAGGAAAACTGAGGACGTAGCTTCATAGACTTGCCCAGAGTGAAAAATCAAGTAAGTAGTGAAGCGGAAAATTGTCTCTTCCCCTTTTAACCCAAGTTTTCTTTACTTGATGGACAGAATTATTTTTTCTGTGTGGTGAAAAGCATCACTGCTTGAAAATGCCAAGGGTTCTTAGGCTATGATGCTGGGAAGGATTTCAAGAGTGCAGGAGATCTGTGTGAATGTGCTGTCAAGGAAGAGCATTAGCGAAGTATTTGTTGTACTTATGGTCACTGGAAGATGAATCTGCATTAGAAAGTAAGGGCAGAGAGGCATAGGTTTTGAGGGGTTTTTTAAAGCTGTCTACTTAAGATAGTTCTTAGATTTGAATTTTTTTTGCTATTTACTGAATTACGTGTTTGCGATATACTGTATACATAGGCATGATGTAGCTTTTTTTAGGCTCTTGCTTACATTAAGAAATAATATTGATAAACTTCCATTATATTTAATGGATGATGTGAGCTTTTTGTTTAATTGATGGATTGCTAAAATACCCAATTAACTGGACTCTTTCCTGAGGTCTGGGGCTTTTTAATGGAGTTCCGTATGTTCGGTTTTGAACAGCTGGGGGGGAACGTTGACTTGTAAGATAAATGAGGACCTGCATCCTTTGGTAGAGAGCCAGGAAGCCAGGGTTGCTGGGTTATTAAGGCGTTGGCATACTGAAGCTTTGGCATTTTTCACCTCTGAAGAGGAAGCCCCCCTCGTGCCGTCTCGTGTTGCCCAGTCGCTTGTTTGCAGGATTTTATTCCTGAGAGGCTTCTGTTCCAAAACTCCTAATTGCAATTTGCAGGTGAGCAGAGGTGTAGCTGTCGATTTTCCAGCTGCATTCTGGTCATTAGCAGGTGCTTCACAAGTGCTAAACTAAGTTAAACATTGCCAAATCGACTTGCAGTTGGTTCGTGCTGGGAGGGGTGACTTACCAATTTAATTAAAGCGCCTTTCTGAGCGAAAGGGGGATGTTTCCTGTTAGTCAAAAGTTCTACTTGGGTGAGTAATTACTTTTTTAAGCAGCATTCCCCAGACGGATCAAATGATAAAGTGGATTATTTTCACAGACCTGGATACCCAATTATTTTGTTCTACAGAAAAGATTAATTGTTTATACATGTGGACAACAAAAATCGTCCTGGCTCCCAACAATCCTTTTATCGCTATTTGGGATGCAGTTAAATGAAAGGACTGTTTCTTAACAACTGACTTAGGAAGCACTATTCCTTTGAGTTAGACAAGCAGTAACGGTCATTCAGGTTAAGAAAATACACTTTGTTTGGAGTGACCTTTTTTTGATGAGTTCAACGCTTCAGGATCTGACCTTGGATTTATAGGCAGACACTTAAAAGAAGATGTCAAATAGGAAAAAAAATTACAATGGATAATACCTGTAAGGCTTTTTATAAATATTTTTCATCCTTTAAAGAAAAAAGTCCGTAGAGCTTTAGGAGTGAGGGAAAAATAATATGTAAAATCCATGGTAAGATACTTTGTGGCAGTTAGTAGTGTCTTGCATCCTTTTGAAGAAAAGCTGTTCGCAAAGGAAGATGCTCCTTAGCACATGAAACAGTTGTGAAACTGATGCAGACACCTTTTTGGGACATGCTAATTAGAAAATAAGCCTTAGAATTTCCTGTTGGAGCTTTTTACTCATTCCTGCAGCCACATGGCTCATTATAATCAGGTGAAAATGACACCATAATTCATTCTGTTGTTTAACAGAGACTGCTGTCCATCTCGAGATGGAAGAACCAGTGCTAGATAAATTGCCATCTCTGTGTGATACTCCAAAGGATTCTGGAGCAGCACCTCCACGGGGGACTAGTTCAGGGAAACAGGTATGGAAACTTTGTTTTGCCAGTAATGTGATTCTTCATAGTTAAAGAATGCTTGTGAAATAATCAAGGAGTGAGAGGTCACTGAGATAGTGCTGGAAGGCTAAAGACAGGTACCTTATAACCATAGCTACAAGGTTGTCCAGGTAAGGAATGTGCTCGGTACACTTTGCTCTGAATATGCAGATGTTTGCTGTGAATACAAAGTGATGGAGCAACACCAAATGCCATAGTAATACACTTAAATACTGTTTAGGGTTTTTGGTGGGGTTTTTTGTTTGTTTTAACCTGTCATCTTCAGCTTTCTCAGATCCTAGTTTTCTGTGTTGCTGTGCATGCAGGATGACTTTCTGTAACTTCTGCCTGCACTGGAACAAAGTGGACTGCTTTCAGTTTGTATGTTCTCCATAGTGCCAAGCTCTGCTTTGGTCTTGATCTTGGCATTTGTTATGGTGATGCTGTCATGCTCAGCATCCAGCTCAGTGCAGGACAGGCCTAGTTTGCAAGTATTCCTTAACTAATCCCATGCTCCTGTATTTTAGTGTATTTCTGAACGTAAAAATGTTAGACACGTTATAAAAAATAATTGTTAACTTATTTCAAAGGAAAAAAAATTTTAAATGCTTATCAGTGAAGTATCTCAAAGCATGAACAAGTAAAAATTTTACAGATATTTGTAATATGCTCAAGTAGAATACAGATGTTTTACAGTACTGCTAATACAGATGTATATGTGTAATAAGATGGAACAGCAGAAAAGACCATTAAACTAGAAGGGGAAATTGAACTTGATAGAATAGATTCAGCCAAGTTGAAATATGCCATATTTCTTCTACACAAAGACTAGATAAGTAGGTTTGGCTCAATAGAATACAGGATTTGGTCCTAGAAAATGTGGAGCTACATCTTTCCTTATCTTGCAGTTGTGTGTGCAGATAAATGTGGAAAGAAGAAGTTAGCTTCATTCCAGTTTGTCAAGGCTATAGAGAGAATCACGAAGTCTGGCTTTACAATGATTGTTAAATATATTACATATTCTATATAAATACTAACCAGGTAAACAATTATTTGAGATTTGATCAAAATTTAAGATTATGCTGACCACCTGTTTTTGTTTGTTTGTTTTTTAGCAAATGAGTGCAGCTCTGAGGGAGCGATTACGGAAAACAAGACGTTCCTTTAATGCCAATTTTACAGCGGCAAAGCGGCTCAAAATAGACACTGAAGAAAAAGACTGCGCTGATGCTGACACAGGGTGCCTGCCAATGACAAGTAAAGATTGTTCCAGATTACAAGATGGTCCTGAAGACCTTGAAAGAAACAGCACTGCACATACATGTTTCAGAAGTCCCTCACGAGAGAGTGATCCCAGTGGATCAGCAGAGAATTCAGATGTGCTACCAGTTGATCTTGGTCAGCAACTGTCCCTGGAAGAAAAAGTAAGGCTGGTGAAACAAGTGCAAGAGAAGGAAGAATTACTTCGTAGGCTCAAACTGGTGAAGATGTATCGATCCAAGGTGAGGCAATACTGACTCACTGGTCTTTTGGGGTGTGTGGTGTTTGCGTATTGTCTCAGTTTAAGGCATTTTGTAAAAATATCTGCATGGTATCAAAACCCCCCACATGTCAGCAAATGACAATTTTTTTGTTTTCTTTTGTCCCAACTGCAGAACAACCTGTGTGAACTGCAGGCTTTGATAGTGAAATGGAGAAGCAGCACCCAGCTGATGCTGTATGAACTACAGTCGGCCTTTTCTGCAGATGGCAAGAAAGTGAGTCTCACTCAGCTGATCGATACTTTTGGATTAGAAGACCAGTTATTGCACTACAGCAGAACAGAAGAAGATTTTATAGATGCATAATCTACAATTGCAAAGCTTTTATTAGACACAAAAGCAGAAAAGACCAAGTGAATTCTGATCATGTCAGAAGTGTTGATGAGGCAGTGGACTTGATGCTTTGGGGTTAGGAGGTTTTCTCCAGAGAAACTTGTAAAGCTTTGTACTTAGATACAGTAGGCACTGTAAAAGGCATTACTTATTGGAAAAGATCAAACTTTTAGTGTTTTGGAGAACCTGGCTTAATGACTTGGTCAGTTAATTTTTATTTAATAAAAATAAAATGAGATCGTACTTTAACAGGTAGAAAGCATTCCATTCTTTGGTTAGTCTTTGTATGGTTACTTCTGTTGAAATAACTCAAATTGTCATTTCTGTTTGTGTTCAGATGGGGAAGAGTTCAGTTTTTTATGCATAAATACATCCCCATTTTACAAATGTCTTCCTGCTACCAGTCAGCTAATGAAGGCCAATGACAGGATTTTGTGAGTTAAGTAAAGATAACTAGTTTTCATGATGTTAATATTCTGAGGCTGTGATAAGATGTTCTCACTGGCTTTAATTGTTATTGAGGGATATGTGCCACAATGCAATTGCTTTTGGGTACTAGTCCAGACAGTCATCTTCAGGGCCACCGTCTCATAATCAATCTGCCCCAGCCTGAGGTAATAGAAGGGAAGACAAGAAAATTGCAACCAACTTTCTACTCTACTACTACGCTTGAGAGCCAAGGTGTTTTCTCTCTTCAAATAAATAAGAAAAATAAGGCCTTGTCTAATGGGACTGCTTCAAACACAGCATCATAAAGCTGAATAGAACTTCATCATTTAATTTATTCTCCAATAAATGTATTTTTCAAAAGCTTTTTTATCTTAAGTTGAAATGGCTTATTTTCTCATCATGGCCTGAGCACAGAGCATGGTGACTTCTGCCTGCTTTTATATTCCTTAAAATCACTGCTTGTCAAGTGTAACAATACATAAATCTTAACTACTCTACAACTCTCTCTGCTATGAATCTTGTTTTCTATGTGACCACATTCTTTATTGATTATACCGTAACTGTTTTGTTTACAAGTGGCATATCCTGTTTCCTTAATAAGGAAATAATTCCTTAGACATCTGAAGGGAAATAAAATCAAAGATACAGACCCTTTTAATATTGATATGGCTCATTAGACTTAAATCTGTACCTAGAACTTGCTCTTAAGAATACTGACTGTTGCTGTCCACGGAGAGTTAATGCAGAACAACCTTTATTGCCAATCACATTTTGAGTATTGAAGCACTATTTCTTCTGCTTCTTTAGGTTTGTGAAGAAAGATGATGGTGCCTGGTGCAGGGGCCAGTTATTTTCCCTGAGATCCTTGGCAGATTCAGAACTCTGCTGCTTCTAGGGAAGTTTTAGCAGGAAGAAAAAGTCTTGCAAGAAGCAAGATGTAATTAGCATCCTCACAGATCCCAGTTAGAGACGGTAAAACAAAAAAGGAGGTGCTGTACAGGATCACAACAGAAGTAGTTTTTTCTTACAAGTGTAGAATTTTATTAAGCTAAGGTATCAAAACTATTGCTGCTCTCAAAATGGAATGAGCTTAGATATGTGAATTTATGAAAGGAGAAGAATTATTTCACACCATGGGAAACAGGGAAATAAAAGGCAGTGAGAACGACTGAGTAAGTAGATCAGGCTCTAGCAGTAGTTAATTTTATCACAGGTTCTTTATTTTTCTTAGGTGTCTTTGAGGGATCTGGCAGGAGAATAGACTGCATCAGTGCAAAGGGGTGGGAGATGCCAGAAACTATTTCAGGAGGCCAGATGCTTCCAAACCTGGTTTTCCTGTGATTCTGCCAGTGGCAGCAGCCACAGCTACTGCTGGCTGTGGGTAATTATGCTGTGAAGGCACAGCAGCTTTTGGGACCGGGCCAAGTAGCACACATGGCCCTGACAAAGCGCATCTACATCTTCTCAGCAACCTACACCTGTGCCATCACAGGTGTAAATCTATTAAGTCAAAGCCACAGACATGAATTTTAGCAGATGCAAATTCAGAGATTGCTTGCAGTACTTTAAAATGTTCTACAATTGCATATTGCAGACAGTGGACATAAAAATACACCTGTTCTTCTCAGTCTACAATTTCTTGTACCCTTTCTTTTCTATAATGAGCTATATGGTTTATATAATGAAACCAGCAGAAATAAATCTCATCAACTGAAGTATAATGGGGATAAGACCAGGTGTAAAATACGCAAACCAGACAAACGTGCATCTTTCAAAGTGCAGTTATTTTTAAGGAAATTACAGAAGAAATCTTTTGTGGAAAGAAAAGTTCAGGGAGAGAAATTAGCTGTCAAAGCTCTTTTACTTAGACAAGACTGTGGTATTATAGATCTACCTGGACTCTGTTTTTTATATATGAGGGGGTGTTCTCATTCTCAGTATTTCAAGTTCTGATTGAAGACTTGCAAACTCTTCTTTCTGTTCCTTTATAAGATCCCGTAGGTTTTTCTGCTTCAAAATCTCTTGGTAACGCTGCTTTGTAATCTTTTCAGAAATATCCCGTGTGTCTGCATAAAACAAAATATAAGGATTAGCCTGTGCTCATAGGGGATGTGTAGTCTATATTTATATTGTACCTGTCTTGAAGTTAGTCCAAATTCTGTATAAAATAGGCAAGCATTTTAAAGAAGGCTCCCAGTTGGGCTTAAAAGCCTTTATAGTACTGAATAAAGGAAAATATTTCAAAAAGGCACTGAGCATGCTTGCTTTAGTTTCTAGCAAGTACCCACTGTTTTGAAAATCTGTAACTTTTGCTCTAGTGGAAAGATCTCTACAGTTTTTCTAATAGCGAATACCATTCTCAGCTCCACACTACTTCCTCTATTCCCTTGGAAGGGGGGACAGAAGTGTGTTGAACAGCTCTGTGAAAGAATGAAAGCATGTTGTATAATGAAGTTACTAATGACTATAATATTTTTACTTGAATAGTTTCAGGAATTTAGTCAACTAGCTTTGGTTACAAGAGGCACGATCTCCAGGTACACTCTTCAGTGAGCAGTGTTAAGTTTTGGTAGGAAGGACTCTGCTAATTGCACTCATACAGGAATACACAGGCACTCCTTGTCCTTTAGCTGATGGTGGGGAACAGGACTGCATAGCCTTGGAGTTATTTTCTGAATGATTTTCTTTGCTTGTGACTTTAAGTGCTTTACTGGACTCACCAGCTGCCTCAAAGATATGCTTCCTTTCTGAAACAGAGACAAGCATTTCCTTCAGCTGCAGGCTCAGCTCGTAGTTCGCTTCCTCTTTTAAACGGATGCTCTTCTTCAGCTCTCTAATTTTTTTCTGATGGTTCTTCACATTCTTCTCGTGCAACTGTCCATTTTGAAATTAATAAAGCAAATATATGAGGTGATAAAAAAGCTGTTCAGACAAACATGATGGAAACTTACAATTTTAAGCACTGCCTTGTAGCTCAATAAACTTTCATGTATTTTGATTTGAGTGGTAGCACATTCTAAGCTTGACTTTGTATAGTGTCTTTCACATGCTGTATCTCAGTATGTTTATGTAAGGACCAGCCAAGGAACCAAGAGGTATGGGTCAGGGAGAGAGATATTAAAGATAAAACTTGAAAGGAAAAGAGAGGAAAGGAAGTCAATGGAATCAGTGAGTTAAGGACACGCTCTTGGCTGCTGGGAGCTGCTGAAGAAAGGGTTGTGCTGAAGCTGATGGATGGGCTGTAAAGGGATAAGATAAATACTAAAGGTTGAAGAGGAAGAGGAGGCTGCCGTCAGCTAGTGCAACTTGGAGAAAATTTAGTGGAAACTCTTAAAAACAAGGATAATCATAATTTGAGGGATGAAATAGATGAGGGAGCCAGCAAATCAGATTGTTGTGTGTGTTATTTTGAATACAGGGGGGTAGGGATATTATGAATAGGCTGGTGCTCCTGGAGAGAAACATTTAGCAGTAAGGACTGAAAGAATGCTTCATTAGAAATGGAAGAGTGACTTTTATAAGCAGTGCTGTGTAAGAAATGATTAGCAGATCTGCATTCAGATGTTCAGGACAGGAAAGCATTTAACTCCAGTAGCAGAGCAAGTAGATGTCTCTCCATAGGGTTGATCTCTGCAGCAATTCAGGTATGATGACTGCTTCCAAAGACTTTAGAGAACTGCTGCTGTAGCCAGCACAGCTCGAGTTGAAGAAACTATTGAAAGCCAGATGGACAAACACACGACTATATATATATTCATCTGTGTCTGCTGTTGTGGCTGTACTCCAACAGTCCTTGAGTTAGCACGCCTATATCAATTGCACTTATTTCTTATTCCTTACAAACACCTCTAGCTAATGAATGCAAGGAGTTGCATTTAAACTAAGGATGTGTCTCTCAAATGTGGTGGTTCCCTTAAGATTTACCTTATCCATGAAACGAAGAGTCTCCTCCATCCCTGCAATGTGCTGGGCGATGTGGCTGCCATAGTTCTGCACAGTTAGGAACTGAAGAAATAAAACCAGAAAGAAATGATCTTATTATGCCAGTTCATTCTTAACAATTCCACACTTCTATTAAGGCAATCATACTATGTGAAATGCAAAAAACCTAGAATTCTGCAGTGGAAAAGCTTACTAGTGATCATAAATGGACATCATAAAGATATTCTTGGACACTCTGTGAATACTAGACTGCGCAGCTGTTAAAAAGAATGTTATCTGTCATGTGTTAATGGAAACAAAGACCAAACAAATTTGTTGAGATTGTCAAAAACCCCAAGCTATACTTTTGCTTATAATGCAATCTAAGCTTACACAGCTGGAGGCCAAAGTGCTATACAGTGTGTCTTTAGGCTAGAGAGGAAAAGAATTATTTTCTGTCTCTCAGCTTCCTAGTAATTCTTACTTCTTTTATTGTTCTATCTGCATAGTAATTGATATTTCAGAGAATTTATTGTTTTTTTTTTTCCTTGAGCACACTGCTACTAAAATACCTCTTTATCAAATGACAAATGGTAAACCCCATAATGTTTTATGGACCTGTAATGGGCAGTAGACAGGTTTCTGTATTTGTAGATTCATCCTTCCCGAGTACTGTCCCACCAAAGTTGACAGGTAGAATTTTGTGGACTATTCTTGTTAGGGGAGGGGAAGCAGGAAAGACCCAGCGGGCTCCTTTGCCTACAGTATTAAACTTCTTTCACTCACTCCTTCATTAACAGCCCTCACTCCAGATGTTCTCAGGTCCTTGCCCACACACATTTATCTTAGCCATCTTTCTTTCTGTTCCTATTGTTGGG